CCAAGCACAGCTCGCTCTCTTACTTCTCTTGCCTCCCTTCCTCTCGTCTCTTTCCCGTTTCTCTGCCTGTCTCCCGTCTCCACTCCAACACGGCCTTTCACTCTTTCCTTCTCGGCCTCTATTGTGAGTGGCAGGTTTGCTTAGTGGCATACCTTCTCAGAGCCCGCTGAAAGGTACCCATTTCGCTTGTCACCCTAAACTCTGGTTTCCCTGTCCCACTCAGTCACTTTAAAAGAATCCTGAAAAGACCCCTGCTCCCTGTTAAGTTGGGAGCATGGGCCCCAGCCCCTCACGTCTATCCCAGCCGAGAGTTATATTGGTCTGGACTCCAAATCCCAGCAGGTCAGGTCCTTAGGACCACTCCCACAGAGTATTTAAATGAACTCCAAAAAGAGGTCTCTTTTCCTTCCTCCCGGAGGTTGCTTTCTCGGCCTCCCGGTTACCCCTCGGGGCCACCCGAGAGTGCAGAACTCCCATTAAGCATGGATATTTCTTAATTTGGCTTGTTTTGATTTGCCTTGATTGGGAATTTTGTGTCGGTAGAGAGCTCACGTTAGGAAATGTTCCTAACACTCCCCACTTCTGCCCCAAAGAACTTCTGGCCTGAAACCCTGACAGGGAAGTCTTCTCCCAGAGTTCCCTAAGGACTCTCAACCTCTATGTACAGAGGAAACTCTTTTTTTCTTTTATTTTTTATTTTATGTGCATTGGTGTGAGGTTGTCAGATCCCCTGGAACTGGAGTTACAGACAGTTGTGAGCTGCCATGTGGATGCTGAGAATTGAACCTGGGTCCTCTGAAAGAGCAATCAGTGCTCTCAACCTCTAAACCATCTCTCCAGCCCCAGGAAAAGACAGACATAGGACCACATAATCCTGGTCCTATCCGTCTCCATATCCAGGGGAAGCCAGTTGTGAACTCTGCTTATAGCTTTATTCCTACAAATTGATGAATAACCAGGACCCAAGGACCAGCAGAAGTCCCTACCCTAACTGGTCTATTTGCATATAGTGTCTTCCTGAGCAGCAGGATCCTGACTTTGTAGAGACTTGTGGTCAGCTCAGAACCTCCACTCACAAAAGGGCCACCCTGCTCCCTGGCTTTATAAGCAATCTTTCTCAGCTTCCTTCAGGAAGCTTTCTTAAGAAAATGGAGTTCTATTTTTGTAGTGAAGCTAACTCGGAGTTGCTTGCATGTGCCTGGAGTGAAGTCTCTATTTACCCACTTAGAGAAACAGGCAACATGTGTGCACATGTGCTCAGATATACCTGCACTGAAACAGAACAGACTAAAAATTACAGAGAAAATAAAAATAAATTTATAAAGGAGAGATGGGTCTCAGGAAGCAATAACTTTCCTCATCTGAGTATTGATATCAAAGTAAACACTGCCCCCTCCCATTCACCTTTCTGGGTTAGTTATTCATTTGCAAACTAATCCTTTACAATTGGTGCTCCAATTTCCTGGGGATAACTGTCCTTTACCTATTAGTATGCTAATAGGGATGCAAGACGTCTCTGGAGATGAAAAATTTGAGAGAAAAGTCAGAGCAAGTCTCAGCCCTTGAGGGAACTTCCACAGGCAAGAAAGTACTTTTTAAGTAAGAAAATTTTCTACCCACTGCCCCATAGAAACCCCAGAGACCATATGACCTCCAAAAATTAGGAATACTTTTCTGTGGGGCATATGGTCTCTACTCCATTTCCTCAAGCACAGGAAATAAAACTATCTTCTCCACCAATTTCTGACTTAGTTTGTTTCAGTAAAGGTAGAGAGCAGTAGGGCCTCCATTTGAGCTTTCCTGTTGCTGGCTGCTGCTACGTCTGTTCCCAGCCTGGAAGCACACCCTCCTCTTCCCCCTGACCTGGGAAGAAAATGTGACCAGTTCTCCTAGCCACACATGTGAAAAACAGGAGGGGAACACACTGGTGAGTGGTCTTGGCTGTGAAAGAGGGAGGCCCCCTTGGGGATAGGCACTCAGCTGACTCCGGTGTGCTAGAGCTCACCACAATAGGGCATCTCCACAGAAGACTCCAAACCCTTGTCACCTTCAATGTTCTGATGGCAAAATCATTTACCAAGTGGTACTTATACAGGCTTTTGTCCCCACACACAGCCCAGCAAAGAGGAAAGCCTCCTTCCCCTGTGGCTCCCCAGAGCTAGCCAGAAAGAACAAGGATTCCTTCTAAGAATCTGTTGGAACTAGCTTTGTTCTTCTCCCTGGACCCCTTGGAAGTCTGGAAAGGGGCTTACTCTGTCAAATCCCCCACTCTGTCTGGCTTCTGGTCCCAATGAGAACCTAACCTCACCTTAGTACCCAAATCTCACTGTTGTTTCTATCACAGCTGGTCAAAGAACTTGGCTGGACTACAATGTAGCCACAGTGCCCTCTGGTGGAAAGAGTCCAAAGCAGCTGATGAACCCTGACTTTTCTGAGACTCCTTGAGGCCTACCTGCCCTTCACATAACCCTAAGACGTAGACTGTGCCGTTCCCTTTGCACAGACAATGAGACTCAGATTCAGAGAAACTAGACTTAAGCAAGCTCAGAGGTAAACAGAAACAGGAGTGAGGCTGGGTTGAGCAGAATGGGGAAGGAATGGGGAAGGCACATTCATCTTCTCTGATGGCCAGAGTCCTTTTAGCCAGAGTCACGTCAGGAGCATGCAATCTCCTAGGGACTATAACTTCATCAGGGAAGGAATTTTTTTCCTTGATGCTGAATTTCTGTTTGAAACCAGTGTGTTTGTTAAGAACTCTTTGAGAGGGGCTGGAGAGATAGCTCAGAGGTTAAGAGCACTGGCTGCTCTTCTAGAGGTCCTGAGTTCAATTTCCAGTAACCACATGGTGGCTCACAACCATCTGTAATGAGTCTGGTGCCCTCTTCTGATATGCAAGCATACAAGCAGGCAGAACACTGTATACATAATAAATAAATCTTTAAAAAAGAATTCTTTGTGAGTTGTGCATGGTGGTGTATGCCTTTAATGCCAACACTCGGGGGGCAGTGGATCTCTGTGAGTTCAAGGCCAGCCTGATCTACAGAGTGAGTTCTAGGACAGCTAGGGATGTTACACAGAGAAACCCTGTCTTGAAAAACCAACAACAACAAAGAACTATTTATGTGCCTGCACACACACACACACACACACACACATTCACATTTTGAAGTCCTATCTCCCAATGTGGTGGTGTTAAGAGGTGACTGCTGTAGGCCATGAGGTTGGAGCTCCATGACTTCATTATCACTATTAATGGGATATGTGCAGCTCTGAAGTCATCTTTCTATAAAGTAAGGATACAGTGAGAACACACTCTCATGGAATCCAGCCCACCATCCCTTCATGGACTGTAGCTTTCAATCCCGTGAGAAATAAATGTCTATTGCTTATAAGCTGTTACACTACAAAAGCCCAAGCTGACAGTTTCCGTCATTAGAACTTGTATAAAACCAGTCCTTAACCCACCAGCCCTGTACTGGAAGCAAGGACTTTTGTACATAGGATCCTGTTCAAATTGAGGCAAAGAAAAGCCTGTAGGCCTGGAAGGAAAGCATCTGCCCCTGAGGACAGGGAAAAGAGTGTCATTGATTTGGGAGAAGGGAAAGCAGCAGCCTCTGCAACCCAGGGTCTAGTTTCCCTCCCATAATCAAGAGCAGAACAGGCTTAAGAACCCATTGGCCTGGTCCTACAGCCCCTCTCAATACAGGTGAACTCCCAGGAAGTTACTCTTACGTATCTAGAGTCAGCAACATTATTCTGTGGACAGCACAGGTCACTGGTTAGGTGTTTATTTATGGCACTCCTCCATTACTCCAGAGGCAGGCTCAGGGCTGGCTACATGCATGGAAATGACACTTGTTGCATGCTTAAATACGTGAAGATGTACAAATTCACAAAGTTTAAACCTTGGCAAGAAAACAGTATAATGAATAGTTCCCTCTCAAATATCACAGAAAGAGTCCTGGCCTCCCCATTAAGATCGTTAAGGCCAAGGTATCTCTGAGACAGGAACTAGCCCAGGCTCTGCATGTGTGAAGCCACCTAACCAAGGTCTCAGCAGAAGACCAAAGTCTATCTGAGGTTGCTAGCATTTTGGTAGCTGATCCACAAAAAGAACATCTACAAAACCTCTTATTCTCTGAACCATCAAAAAGGTCTCCAAGGTATAGACTCTTCTTCCAATGTCTGCAAAACTCTGATGGTCCTTGCAGATTGTCTCAAATGAGTCATTTTAGGGCTTCAGTTCTCACATCAACTCTTCATTTAATGCCAACTTTGAATTTGGCAGCAAGCGCAGGCCTTACTCAAATATGCCCTCAGGCCTATAAATGAAGCAGGTGGTTGCCGTAGGTTCGGGAAAGAACATATCCAGACCCTTTCCAGGCTACAAGTATGCTTCTAGCAGTACAACTGCTGACCTCTGGTGTCAAAAGAGAGACTTCCAGAGAGCTGAGGGAGGCTGTGGGGAGCAGCTAAGACCTGTACATGCTGCCTCCACGTTATGTGCAACCTACAGAGGCCACACAGCAGCTTTCTCCTGGTTACTTGCCACACACCTAGAAGTAGGGATTGCCAAGCCGTCTGTGGTAAAAGAGTTCACAAAGCTTTTGGAGAGGAAGGGCCATAGGGAAGTTCTGGGTGTTGTCCCCTATTGGACTCTTGCTGGAAAAGTGCCCCATGTTGGAGTCACAGTCAGATAGAACAGGAAGTGGCAGGGACAGAGGCAGTGCCGGGTCCCCTTCACAGACTTATGTTACAGTATAGAAAGAATCTTCAAAGAGCAGCCATCCAAGAAACCACTGGTGCCCACCCACCCCAGATAATCTGGCTGAATCAGTGGAGCCAGAACTAGAAAATAATCCAAGGCAGCTCCAAGCTTAGGGCCAGTCTCAATTTTTTTAAAATAAAAAAATACTGTCCACGGCAGCACCAGGCAACACCAAGTATTTTCAGTGGTCCTACGGAAATACTCAAAGGCTGGGGGCAATAGCATACAGCGTATGACTGCATGGTCACTGAAATACCTCAGGCTGAGCTCACCCAGAGCAGGGTAGCAGGGAGAGGCCAGAGAAGAGTCACGTGAAGCATGAATACCTATGTAGGTTCTCCAGGCATGTCCACTGTGTTCTAGATATTTCTGTACAGCGTCACACCAGAGTGGGGAGCCTATACTGTCTCAGAAGTCTTGCAAGCAAAGCCCACATCTTTGGCAATGCTGCGCACACGATCAGAAGTCATAGAGGCCACCTTGACACTTTGACCTGTCCCATGGTGTTATAAGGTCTTCCTCTAGGTTTCTAAGCACCCTGAGCAAAAGAAAAGCCATTCAAGGCCCCAGATGCTCAAGGCTCAGGGTCAACCTAGAGAGCAGTGACCTGTGTAAGTTCCGTGTTGGGTGTAGATGGGCTCTGTGGGCTGACAGGCACCATGGGCAGGTCCACGCCTAGTCATGCCGGCCGTGGTACTGTCTCAGAAGTCTTGCAAGCAAAGCCCACATCTTTGGCAATGCTGCGCACACGATCAGACACCTGCATCTCCCGGTGCAAGGCTGAAGCACAACAGAACTTTCTAAAGCAAGCCTTGAAGTTCTCATCCAGGAAAGCATAGAGAATGGGGTTGAGACAGCTGTTGACATAGCCCAGGGCTGTGCAGAAGCGCAGGATGGCTACTGCAGTCTCACTGCCTGGCTGAACACCCAGTCCTTGTACCAGCACAAAGACTTGAACAGGTGTCCAGCAGCCCACAAACACAGCCACCACCACCAGCACCAGCCGTGTGATACGACGCAGGTTCCGGTCCTTCTCTCGGGAGCCTGAAAGCAGACGGACGCCCCGGAGCCGCCGAATCATGAGGCTGTAGCAGACAGAGATGATCAGCACAGGGATGATGAAGGAAAAAAGGAAGATGCAGATGGCAAACACAGGGCCCCAGTAGTCCTGAGGGGCAGGGATCTCCACCAGGCATTCGATCTCTGCAGAAGAGAAATGGGGTCAGAAGGGCCACCAAGAACTATGGGGAACTGGTCAGAGAGGAGGACCATCCACTGACCTTCATCCTCTACTTGTGCTGAGCCCATGACGGCAACAGGAACACCAACCACAGAGGCCAGGGCCCATATGGCCACATTAACAGCCTGGGCTTTGCTGGACGTCCGAACATCAAGAGCACGAATTGGGTGGCAGATGGCCACGTAGCGGTCTACACTCATGGCAGTCAGGGTGAAAGTGCTGGTGAACATGTTGTAGTAATCAATAGCAATGACAGTCTTGCATAGTGCATTCCCAAATGGCCAGAAGCCCAATAGGATATCTGTGCCCTGGAAGGGCAGTGTCAGCAAGACCAGGGTATCAGCCAGTGCCAGATTAAATATATAAATGTTGGTAGCTGTCTTCATCTTGGTATGCCTGTGGAGGACAGGGAGAAGAAATATTCCACTTGGCCACTTTGGTCAGACTTGGCAGCAAAAGGGCCACCATGAGGATCACCATCTTTGAATCTCTCAACTTCAAAGTCTCAAAGCAAGCTTGTTAAATGGCAGATCCTGCACTACATCCAAGGTCCACTAAACCTGGGACAAACAAAACAAACTCCTCATGTGATCTCGACATCTACAAAAAGGTTTCAAATCTTAAAGAAAGGACTATTCTGGAAAATTTAGGGCATGGAGGAGCAAGCACTTGAGTACATGTCTAACCTGAATGTGAGTTTTGTGGAAGGAATCAAGAGAGAAAGATTCTGTCTTCTCTCCTGAGTCCCTCTTAACATTCCTCTCAGAGGTTTTCCAGGGCACCACCTGGAAAGTTCACCAAAGGTCTTTCAAGTGCACCATGTTGTCTAGCAATGAAAATGGGAAATGGTGGGCCAGCCACATGGCTGTCGGTAAAGGCACTTATTGCTGATTCCTACAATCTGAGTTCATCTCCAGGACACATGTGGTAGAAGGAGAAGACCAACTCCTTCATCTGACCTACACATCCGGACAGACACACACATACACATAAATAAATGCAGCAATTTTTAAATTCTAAAAAAGGAAACGGGAAATGGTGACAAGAACAGGAGAGATACTAATTAGGTTTGATTGTATTCAAGTACTTGGAACATTGTAAGTAATAAATATTAATGGCATGAATTAATGTTTACAACAGTGGGTAGAGAAGGGTGGTTATAGGGCTAGTGGTGATAAAAATGATGGTAGTGGTTACAGTTGTGATGGTGGTATGGTAGTGGTTACAGTTGTGATGGTGGTATGGTAGTGGTTACAGTTGTGATGGTGGATGGTAGTGGTTACAGTTGTGATGATGGATGGTAGTGGTTACAGTTGTGATGGTGGTATGGTAGTGGTTACAGTTGTGATGGTGGATGGTAGTGGTTACAGTTGTGATGGTGGTATGGTAGTGGATACAGTTGTGATGGTGGTATGGTAGTGGTTACAGTTGTGATGGTGGTATGGTAGTGGTTACAGTTGTGGTGGTGGTATGTAGTGGTTACAGTTGTGATGGTGGTATGATAGTGGTTACAGTTGTGGTGGTGGTATGTAGTGGTTACAGTTGTGATGGTGGTATGGTAGTGGTTACAGTTGTGATGGTGGTATGGTAGTGGTTACAGTTGTGATGGTGGATGGTAGTGGTTACAGTTGTGATGGTGGTATGGTAGTGGTTACAGTTGTGATGGTGGTATGGTAGTGGTTACAGTTGTGATGGTGGTATGGTAGTGGTTACAGTTGTGATGGTGGATGGTAGTGGTTACAGTTGTGATGGTGGTATGGTAGTGGATACAGTTGTGATGGTGGTATGGTAGTGGTTACAGTTGTGATGGTGGTATGGTAGTGGTTACAGTTGTGATGGTGGTATGGTAGTGGTTACAGTTGTGATGGTGGATGGTAGTGGTTACAGTTGTGATGGTGGTATGGTAGTGATAGCACTAAAGATGACAGGAGTCCTTGTCAGTTTAGCTGCTATTGGGGAACCTGGGATTAAATTCTGTTTCTTAGCAATTAAGCCCAGAGACCTTAATTACAATAAATAACAATGCCAATAATAATGGTAGATATCCTCACATAGATTTTATTTCATTTGAGGTTTACAAAAATGCTATTTTGATCCCTATTGTAAGGGGAAGGGAACTGAGGCTCAGAGGAGCTAAGTAGCTTTCATAAGAACTGCTAAAACGCAGAACGGGGCTCAGACCAGGCTTTTCCTACTCCTGGCATACACCCAATTCAAACATACCGTGTGCTATTTCCTGAGCCCGTGTGGGCACAACAGCTCCTGAGAATAATACTCTGGAGATGCTAGTGCATATGATGGCCTTCCTTGTCTACTCTAAGGCCGTAAATGGCTCCAAGAGTTTTAATGTCCCAAATACAAAGGAGAAATGTAGGAGAGAACAAGAGGGTTGATGACAAAGGGGTGGACACGGCTCACAAACTGCCCCAGGTTTCTGCACTTCTTGCCACAGACACATTGTCTATCTAGGAAGAGACAGGTGAGTCACAGCAATTTCCCACAAGGGTCCCCTATTGGAAGTCAATACTGGGAAGACTTTTCTTACTTCACTGTCTAATCACACATCACATACATACACACGTGTGTGCACTTGCACATACATATGGCTATATGATCCACCTTTCCCATTTAACAAATAGAGAAAACAAGGCCAATGGTGAACAGGGTTTGTTCAGAAATACTAAGAGGATGGTGATGAGGCAGAGTATTGACGCTGTTCTTGCCCTGCCTCCACCAACACTGATAGCACCAGGGGGGCCGTAACCTCTTTCTTCAGAGCCACCTCTTTGTGAAAGAGGAAATCTATCAGTGAAGAACCTGGCTCTGGTTATATACTATTAAAGTACCTCCCATGTCTTCCCAATGCTCAAAAAATTTGGTGTCCCCAGACTGGCATTCAAGTCCTCACCTGCTGTTTCCAGTCCCCCTCAATGCCCTCCCAGCTGGAAATAAAACACCCGGAGACCATCATTGCCACGGCACATTCACCCGTGGCACACCCCTTGTGTGGCCTTCTTGTCCACAGAGCTGTATCTGTGCTGCCCTGTGTCCCTCGCTGTGGCCTGCCTCAGTCACCCAGTACGGCTGCCTTCTTTTTAATCCTCCAAATTTTCCCATTTCTGAGCACCAATAGAGGGTGGGCTCAGACAAAACCATCCACCATGAACAGGGATCCCAAGAGCCAAAGAACAAGGGCTTCAGGCCCAGCACCAGCCCCTCTGCCTCCCTTTGAGAAATCCTAGGATCCTGTGTAGCCATGAGGTCATTCACACAGACAGCATGGCACAGACTTCTCTGCAGCTCTGAGCCTCCAGGTGGTGACACCTAGTCTGGGACAGATGGGGGCAGAACAGGGGTTGAATATCAGGGTTGATCCTACCCTCTGAACAGAGAGGAAAGAAATCTGATGGAGCAAGCAAAAAAATCCATACTTGCTCAGATTATTCCAGGACAGCCTCCTGCCTCAGGTTCCCCCTCCACAAATTAGTGGGGCCCAGCCTACCTGAGGATGACATACATGACGAGGCAGTTCCCCAGCAGCCCCCCGATGCACACAGCCAAGTAGAGCCCCACGATGGTGACCTTGAGTCCAAGGGGCAGGAAGGCGCTGTGGCTAGAATTGAGCAGCAGGTGGTGGGGTACAGTCTCATTTAGGAGAGACAGGTTGCCTTGAAAGTGGCTGCCATACAAGACCTCCCAGAATGGGGCAGGGAAGAGGGACTCCATGCTGCCACCCTGCAAAGTCACTCAGTATAGTTCCTGGAACAGGGTACAGAAACAAGTGACCACGGTGCTAGACACAGTCCACTGAGGCCCTAGAATACAGCACAACCAGCCTAACAGGCACATGGAACACCTCCATGGACATCCACAAACACTAGGCACATACGTAGATACAAGGACAAGGACAAAGGCATGCACATGGGCACAGGATGACACACACAGAGTTATGGGAGCACATACATGTATCCACAAGGTTAATTCATGTTAGGGTTACAGACTCATATAGAAGCTACGTGGATGTAGATACACAAGCACGCATGTACACCCACAGAGACTCAGGAGCACACAGCCATCTGAAAACAAAAATACCCAAACTATCCAAAAGCACACTGGAACACAAAAGACATGGGATTTAGCCAGAAATGCCTAGGGCTCAGGCATTTCACATAGCCTCCTCCCAGCCCCCAGTCCCCAGTCCGGAGTCCCTCTTACCTCCAATAGCACACACAACCTCTTCAGAAGCGGGGCCAAAACAGACCCTAATGCTTGTCAGAAACGCAGGAAGGCATGAAGAAGACAGGAGCACAGTGTACTGAGCAAAGCTTCTCCCTCCAGCATGGGATCTGCTCAGGCTGCGAATGGCTCCTTGCTCCTAGCTCCTGCTCTGAAGATAAGATATTGACTAGATGCAGCAGCCAGTGCGGCAGCCAGAAGGAGGGGGAGGGACCGAGGCTGCGGCTGAGAGAGGGAGGGGCTGTGCAGGTTGGAGAATGCAGCCAAGAAAAGATCACCAGACCAGAGCTCCCAAAACTCCACACCAGGTAGAAACAGACAAAAGATTACAGCACACATGAAGTGATGGACCCACCCACCCAAGGCAGACACACTCAGGAGCTGAGACACAATGGGGACATCTATAAACACAAAAATAAAGACATGAACAGGAACTCAGACACACATACACACACAGCCTCAGACACAACGACACAGTCAGAGATGTACACAAAGAAGCAGATGTGAAGCTCCAACACACACAAATGTTGTTTTGTTTTGTGTGTGTTTGCATACATGTGTGTGTGCACGTAAATGTGTGTGTGTGTGTGTGTGTGTGTGTGGCTGGTTTTTTGTTTGGTTGGCTGGTTGGTTGGTTTTGGTTTTTTGTTTGGTTTTGGTTTTCTGAGACAGGCTTTCTCCATGTAGCCCTGGCTGTCCTGGAACCCACTTCGTAAACCAGGCTAGCTGAGAACTCAGAGATTTGCCTGCTTCTGCCTCCCAAGAGCTGGGAGTAAAGATGTGCACCACCACCACCCAGCATAAATGTTGTTTTGTACAGACTAGCCCAGACCAGATTTTGCTGGCTTTCCTGCCTAAAGCTGTCCTCAGTCAGATGTCCAGTGTGGAAGAGCACTGAAGCAATAGACAGCATCCTGACCCAACTAATTCTCCAGTAAACAAGAGGTTGTCTGGACTGAGGACCAGTCCTGTCTTGCTTGTGTGCTGCTTATACCTAACGTATACCAAGCCCAAGACAAAATTGAGCTCATGAACCCCCATTACACGTGGCCATTGCCCTCATCACACCTCTGAGGTCTGAAACTGCCTGTCGATATAGCAGGAACAAGAGGAAGTCAGATCTGCTGGTCACTTGAAGCCAACACCACAACTGAGCCCCAGACATGAATCTTGATATACACAGAGCTGGCCAGCTTCTAGGGACTATGTTCCTTGCCAGAACAGGGGTCACAGTCTGCTGAGATAAAAGCCATAAGTCAAGGTCATGTGGGCTAGGGACCGTATGCTGAGTTTCTAGCCATCATCAAATCATAGGCTTGTTTTTCCTGTCTGTGCTGAATGAAAGCCAGACCTCCCACATACAGCCAGACCCTGCTCCTTCGCCAAGGATGGGGACCTGGTTGCTAGGCAACTCACAGAAGTGTTGCTAGGATACCTGTCCAACCAGAAAAGGCCAAAGCAGACAGACGCCCCAGGACTCAGCATCCCAAACTGTCTCCAAGGACTTGTCTCTGCAGCTGAGACTCAGAAACACATGGATATTCAAGGAAGCACACGAGGACACATTCCTGCAAATAAACAGAACACATACAGAGATGCCCAGACAGGCATAGTATAAATGCAGACACACAAGTGATATGTGCCCAGAGACGCACACAAAGATCACATATTCAAACCCAAAAGGTGCATGCAGACACAAAGGGAAAAAATATACAAAGAGAATGTGAACTAGGGTGGGAACAGGCAGGCACAGATTAAGGCCCTTAGATATGGAGCACACAGGAATGCATTCTCTGTCTCCGTCCCTCTCTGTGTCTCTCTGTCTCTCAGTTTCTCTTCCTTCCTTCCTCCTCTTTCCTCCCTCCTTCCTTCCATCCCAGACCAAGTTAGCACCCTGATCTCAAAAGTGTGATGGGGTAGGAACTCAGACAGGCTCAGACTCCTGAAGCATCTTCTCCAAACAACCTCAGAGTTCTCAACCAAGCTGTCTCTGCACCTCTACAGAGCCTATTTTCCAAATGGCCTTCACCTGCCTTCCAGTCCAGGCTCCAGATTTGGAAAGAGGATGCTGTAAGCATTGTAAGTGTAGGAAGAACAGAGCCACAGAATGTCCCTTCCTCTCATGGTCTTGAGTTAGTTCCTGTGTGCTTTGTCTTGCCCCACTGCATGGATCCCACACCCAAACTAGCTCCAGTCCTGCCTATTCTAAGAAGCCTTCCTTGCCACTGTCCTCAGTTCCCGGAGTCCTTGGATCAACTTCATAGCCTCAACTATGACTCAGCTAAAACTGTCAGGTAAAATTGAGCTCTGGTCTCAGCATATATCTGTAAGTGTGGACCAACAGAATGTGGCTCAGAGTCCACATGATCACATGTTGTCTCAGGCAGAAGAATAACTTGGTCATCTGATAGGTGAGATGGCCAAAATGGGCACCGGTGGTACAGAGGAAATAGCTCTAGCATCCTGAGCCCAGACAGGAACTCAGTAAGGACAAATGGGCTTTTCAGAAGGGAAGAAGCAGGATGATACAGAACATAAGTGAGACAAAGGGGTCTGCAGTAGAAATGTCACATGAGAGTATTATTGAAGATCCAGGCAACTCAAACAACAACACAGCTCAAGCATACAGTTCACTGTTGAAGCCACCAAGAACTGTACACGGGTATCAGAAACATCTAGGCAAGGTTCAGAACAAGACTATGTAGTTCTGATTGTCCTGAAATTCACTATATAGACATGGTGGCGTGCAGGTAGACATGCATCAAAATGGGGAGAACACAAGTCAAATAATCCCAAGCTAACTCCAAATACGGTATTCTAAGGTTTTTCTTTATTAAAAGGGAAAACTCGTGGAACAGGAATGGGGGTACAACATCAAGGTTTGGAGCTTAGGTAGAAAAGGGCAAGCAGGCAGGACTACAGCCTTTTGGTACCCCAAAGCCATGCCTCAACCTGATCTAGCCTCTCAAAGGTTATTGGCTGAAGGAGGTTCCCCATCACCTCCCCGTTTTGTTTAAATAAGAGAGTTCCAAACCCAATACATAATTACAAACAATAAGAGTAGATAGTAAGTATAAAAAATAGAATTATAACTAGCATAAACAATATTAAGCAAGGAACATATGCTAAATGTTTCAACAATTATTTTTCCTAAGAAGTCTAAGTCTTGTATTAGAAATGGCTTGACTAAATCATAAGAGGAAAGTACTATGACTATCTAATCTTCAACCCCATCGAAGGCCTGAGAAGGGAGATATTACTTGAGCAGGCAGGAAGTGAAACCAAGCAGCTTCCAAAATATGCAGTAGATGACAGACAACTGGCTACCTGAGCAATCACCCAAAGTCTCATTTGCGATGTTGAAGCAACCAACATTTGGCTAAGGCCTAGAGTAATTGACAGACCATTTTCAGAGGAGGAAATTTTTTTCAAAACTGTCTTACCCTGTTTTGGCAAGGTTTGGCAGTCTTTTTTCTTGTATCCTGCTTGTCCAGTCTGGACACTGTACATTTTGTCAGTGGTCAAGGTATGGGCAGTTCCTTGCCCAAAGGCCAGTTTTGCCGAGAAGAAAACATAGTTAAGATTGATGGCAAAGTCAGGACTGATATAACCTACCCTACTGAGCTCCTAGATATCATCAGCATTGACAAGACTTGAGAGAACTTCTATCTGATCTATGACACCAAGGGGCACTTTGCTGTTCATCTTATTACAGCTGAGGAGGCAAAGTGCAAGTTTTTCGAAGTAAGAAAGATCTTTGTGGGCACAAAAGGAATTCCAAATCTGGTGACCCATGATGCTTGAACCATTTGTTACCTTGACCCCCTCATCAAGTTGAATGATACCATTCAGTCTGATTTGGAGGCCAGCAAGATAACTGACTTCATTGAATTTGGCATTGCTAACCTGTGTGTGGTGACTGAGGATGCTAACATGGGAAGAATTGGTGTGGTTATCAACAGAGAGAAAAATCCAGGCCCTTTCAATGTGGTTCACACTGAAACATGACAATGGCAACAGCTTTATCGCTAGACTTTCCAGAATTTTTGTTGTTGGTAAAGATAACAAACTGTAGCTTTTTTAAAAAACTCTTTTGACTGTTTACTTTTTGAGGAGCTCATCGTCCAGCTCCCAAATAAATCACACAGAGGTTTATTCTTTTTTATGAATTCCCAGCCTTAGCTTAGCTTGTTTCTAGCCAGTTTTTCTTAAATTATTCCATCTATCTTTTGCCTCTGGGCTTTTATTTTTCTCTATTTCTGTAGCTGGCCCCTGATGTCCTCCTGTCTTTCTTTTTCTTGCTTCTTGATCCCTCCTCCTAGATTTCTCCTCCTATTTATCCTCTCTGCCTGCCAATCCCACCCATCCTTTCTCCTGCCTTGCTATTGGCCATTCAACTCTTTATTAGATCTATCAGATGTTTTAGATAGGCAAAGTAACACAGCTTCACAGAGTTAAACAAATGCAATATAAAAAAATGCTACACATCT